TGAAAAATCCATGGCCCCACAGCACTCATCTTCCCCTCAATGAACATTATTGCGATGTTATCAAAAGGAGTTTAGCCAACTATGAGTCTTCTGTTTCGGGTCTTGCCTATAGTAGGATGTGCCTTGTTGGGGCTAGGGTGACCTAGATTCTTATTATCAAAGAGTGAGATGTATATTTTAGGACATGAGGAACTAGAGCCCAGTCAAAGGGGGCTTTATTCTCCATGGAAAGCATTGTCCAGCAACATTCAGGTGTGACTTGCATTATTTTTCAATTTGTTACCAAAGGTGGCTGTTCTTGAATGTTCAAATAATCTAGGATCTAGGACTGTGAGACCTCCTTGGTCTTAATGGGTAAACACTGAGGTCATTTCCCAAAGCTCATTCTGGCCAAGTTCTGGGAGAAGGTCCCTTCTCTATCAGCTTGAGCCAGTAACTCCAGCTCCTTCGGTTACCTCCCTGGGAGAGAAACTGAAATGTTCCTCTCTGGGGAGGGGCAATCGCCATGGGCAAGCTTTCTCTATACCTAACAAGAATATTTTAAGTGCAAGTCAATAAAATGGTTGGACACAGAGGAATTGTTACAGAAAACTTGTACCCTCTTCATGTTCCATTTGTTGCACAGCCCTCAGAAATGGGATTAGTGACTTTGTAAAAGAGACTGAAGGGAGCCTTCTCTTTTGACCTTTTGCCATGCGAAGTTCTGGCAACAAGGCCCCATTTTCTAGTCCACAGATAGGCAGCCATACAGAAGGCTGATTGAATGGGAATCTGGAAGGGGGCATGTAGACATTGTTGGACTGTAGCACACTCATCTAATCCCATTGGCTTCCCATGACAAGGAAAAAAGGATTACTCGAGGTATGTGGATGTGTTAAGGGGTGTTTGGTTTATTTGGCAGAACTTTCCAGGGCCTTATGGGCCTTCTCTATCAGGTGAAGCTAGTGACTGATTGAAGAAACATGAAATATGATGGCTCCCAAAATGTTGCTACTAGTGGGTCATTCAAAGCTGTAGCCAAAAGCATTTCCAGACAGCTGGAGAGGACAGGTGGAGTTTTAGATTACTATTTATCAGTCTGAAGTTCCCCTGGGGTAAATACCTAGCTTGGGGTCAACAGCAGAGTTCCTTGGTCCTGTGCTCTGAACTTTGCACAATTCAGGTCCAAGGGGCAGCTCAGTCCCTGCAAAGATGATCTCTGTTGGTAAACGTGAGTATAAATGGGCCATAGACTGAGCAGCCTCCAGAATATACCCTTGTTCTTCTTTAAGATCCTCATGCTAAGGGTGGGGCCTCTGTGCTGTTTGTTCTAAATGCCCAGCACCTGTTTCAGTTCTGGTCCACAGTAGGTGTCAACATCTGCCAGAAGGATGAACAGATGGAAGAATGAAGCTAGGCTAGGACAGTTCCAGCTACCTCCAGCCCTGCATATCTGGTGTTTGTACACAGTGCTGTAGCTCAGTAACGAAAGACAAAGTCACAGAGGCTTCCAGAGTGCAGAGCCTACAACCTTGAGATTTGGAGCCAGACACATCTGGGTACTAATTTTACTGTTATAGGTTACTTGTGTGACCTCAGACCAATCACTTGATTTTTGAGCATTTGTTTCCTCCATTATAAAATGGGTGTAATAAAATATACCTCATTTGGCTGTCGGGAGAATAAAACCAGATAATACCTATAAAACCTTTAGCTAAGTTCCTGGCACACAGTAAGTGATCAACAAATGGGGCCATCTGGGATCCTGTGCATCTATAGACAGAATGCTCTAGGCCCCAGAGAGCTGATGTGGAGCACCAGCACACTATCATGTAGAAACATCACTGTTTCTAGAGGGAGCTCTGGACCCTGCAGTCATGCAGTATAGTGGCTGGAGCTCAGAATCATGCTGGAAGGAGGTGAATCATGAGGGAAAGCTCAGAGGACATGTTTGGGGACAAATTAAAGGCAAAACTGTGATGAGGTCACACTGAGCCAGCAACAGACCTGTTGGAGTCTCAGGATACAAGTTATGGTTTAGTTCATGGGAGATAAGGGCTGGAAGGGAACTTCATCTGGTTCTAGTCTGGGCCTCAATTTGATGGGGCTTCCTCATCAATCAAGGCAGATTTCTGTTCTGCAGGGGTAGACCCTCTCTGCCAAGTGACTTTATGGGGGCCATCATGACTGTTAAATTTGATTCAGGCAAGATGCACCACTGGGCGAATTTTATTGTGAATTCTCTATGCCAAGAACTCCTACAATCTGTCATCTGAGAAAGCCCCAGAATGTTGAGACAGGAGCCAAACTGCTCTGCAAGCCAGGTGGGTGATGCCTGTTTGTGAGATTTAGTTGCGCAGGAATGACTGATGGTGCTGCAGGTGATGATGGAATTATACCTGTGGTAATCAGGCATCGCACAACAAACATTCTTTTCTCTTCCTTGCTTGCTTCATAGGTGAAATCATCTCCATGAGGGGCCATACATTTGGGCCACAATGTGTCAGGAGCACAGCATGCTTCTACACAGCTCTTTTTATTTATTTTATTTTTAAAAATTATTTATTTATTTATTTTTTTGGTACTGGGGATCGAACTCGGGACCTTGTGCTTGTGAGTCAGGCGGCAGAACCACTGAGCTAAATCCCCGGCCCTACACAGCCCTTTCACCTTGTCTGCATCCACATACACAAGTGTCTGCCTGTGGCTCCCAGGAGTTTAGATGACATATTTTAATATTCCCCAGAGCTTCCTTTGAAGCCAGCAAGGTTACTCACATAGAGAATGGATTCAAATGCTGAGCATGAGGATGTGAGAGAGGGCGCAGACTGCTGCTGTTGTTTAGCATCTCTGAGCGTTGACTATTCTCGCTCTGAAAATGGAGTACTCAGAAAGATAGCAGCTCCTGGAGGAGGCTGAAAGGTTTTAGCAACAGGACTATTGTTTTACATTTAACAGCTAGGGACCAAGTCACACTCTTCTCCCTGCAGTCTATAACTACAGCTGTTCAGGGGAGCTTGGGAATAAACACACTGGGAGGTGATCAGATCCCAGTGTTCCTCGTATAAGGAGCACAAGCCACCTGGAGACGCTCTCTGTTGGAGGAGCTGGTGAGGTTTGGTGATGTTGAGCTCTGAACTAGAGGCCAGGACATTTGGGTTCACAATTCCAGCTCTGACACTTCCCAGCCAGGTGACTCCTTTTAGGTGACTGTGTCAAGGCTGCTGCTTCTTTGTGTATAATAAAAGGGCTGGCCCTGGAGTTATCACCAGCTAGGAGAATAGTTGACTTTGAGTCTCTTTCCAAATTCTGGAAACTAAGTAATGATTGTTTAAATGCACATATTATGGAAACTTGGAACAAGGATCTCAGACATTGGGCACTGTATGGGAAAATCTCAGAGCTATAGAGCTTCACTCATGTGAAATCCTTTGACAGATAATTGCATCATGTTGTGGATAATGACTTCTATTAGACAAATGCTTTTTGAAGACTAGCAATCTCGTTTCCTGGGTTTTCATTACTATTATGAGTAGTAATAAAAAATAACAGCGCCAACTACTTTTCAGTGTATATGAGGTTCCAGCACTTTTACACTGTGCTCAGCATGATCCCATTAGATCCTTCCTATGGTGCTGTTGCTGTCACTATTTTATAAGTGAGGAAACTGAGGCTCAGAGAGGCCCAGAGACTTTCCCAAGGTCATATCATCAGGAAGCAGATGCACTGGGATTTCAATCTGGCTCAGACTGACTTCTGAGTCCATACTCCTTTTTTATGGTTAGAAGTTATAGTGTTTTATAGCACTTATTACCAGCACCATTACAATCAACACACATTTCCAAAGTGTCCTCTGCAAGCAGAAGACAGAGGAGGAGAAATCAGTCTTTGCCTTTAAGCCCTTCAAATCTAGAAGGCAGAGCACTTCTGTAAATGATATAACAGCATAAAGCAAGGAGTAGTTTCGGTAGTAAGAACTGGAGGGGCTCAGAGGCAGAAAAAATCCTTAGATTCTGAGAGAGCTTTACTGACAAATTGGGATTTTATTTGAAATCCTCAAGGATGGGGGCTGAAAGCATCTGAGGAAAGTAGAGAGAAGAGGACAGGCATAGAGGAAGATGGAAGGCAAGAGCCAAGTCCTTCAGATAGGGCAGGCAGGGCTGATTGACTTGAAGAGAAAATACAGGGAGCAAGAGACTCCTTCTGGGGAGACTTTTGGCACCAGGTAAGGATGCAGTTACCCCTGAAAAGAGGCAGGTGCGGATATACTGAGTGCATTTTCTTTGTAAAGAACTGGGTGACTTCTCTGGAGATAATAGTTTCTCCTACATATGTTGATTCAGACAGAAATTTTAGTGATTGAAATAGCCACTTAGGACACTTGTCAGTCCCACAAAATACTTTTAACACTAGCTTGGGCACACTCATGGGGCACCCAGTGGAGCTGCCTCCCATACTTAGTTGCATTGTTCTGCATGGAGGACAAGAAGTGGGAGGAGAACCAGGGTGTGGTGGTGCACACCTGTAATCCCAGCACTTGGAGGGTGAGCCAGGAGGATTGCCGCCAGTTTGAGGCCAGCCTGGGCTACATAATGAGTTCAAAGTCAGCCTGAACTACATGGTTAGACCCTAACTCAAAAAAATTTATATATATATATATATATATATATATATTTGGGAGGAAACATATAGTGATTTAAAATGCAGGGTGGGATGGTGACATTATAGGTGGCTTTTTTCTTTTTTAAAGTTGACTTGAACATTTTTTTTTTTTTTTTTCAGTACTGGGGACTGAATTCAGGACCTTGCACTTGCCAGGCAGGCATGGTGCCACTGAGCTACATCTCTAGCTTGAACATTTGTATCAGGTACTAATTTGACTTTAAAAAAAATGAGCCCAATCAGGTTGGTATCCTTAGAAAAATTTTGAATTGAATATTACTCAAACTACTTGCTCTCCAATTATTTCAGACATTTAAAGAAAAAAAATTTAAAGCAAATCAGAGACTGTACACACCATTTCTGCTCTCTGGCTACCGAAGGATCTCTTATTTCTCCTTCAAAAACCACCGGGTCATTACCCTCTCTTCAAAGCCTGGGGGCACTCTGCCCACCTTACTCAAAAGCCGGACAGCCCCTCCCTCCTCCCTTATACCTGGAGGAAGCAGCGGTGGTCTGAAAGTCAGGTAGGTTAGCTCCACTGCTTTGTAGGTGTGTGGCTCTGAGCAATTCAGGTAAGCAACTGAGCTTCAGTTTCCTCATCTGTAAAACAGGGACACTAATTCCTGTGGAGCAGCTGAGGACTGAAATAAAATACGTAAAATGTTTAGAGCAGTTTTTAGCATATACTACACGCACAACGAACGATTCCTGTGTTAATTACTCATTTCTGTGCTGTACTTTATTTCTGGGGCATTTGCTGCTCAGTAGTTTTTCTCTCCCACCAGCTCTTAGAGGGCAGAGGCCTAGTTTTCAGTGTCTGGTGCCTGGGCCCGGGCCCCTGGGAGCCCAGTGCGGAGCTCACCGACTTGGAGCGGAGAGAGCCGGCAGAGGCCTCGTCGGAGGTCTGGGCCGCTGAAAGCTCCCCCCTCTCCAGCGCCCCCAATCCGACGGGACCGAAGCCCTCGGGGCTGGTGGGGAAGGGGCCGGGGCTGGGCTCCGACCACCCGGAGCCGGAGAGCTGGGGCCCGGGTCGCAGGGCCGAACAGCCTGGGCCCAGCCGCCCCACCGCCCCACCGGAGCCACTCCCCTGGGTGGGGTGTGGGTCTGCGGGGTGGAGCGGGGAGCCTCGGGCTCCGGGCTTGGGAGGAGAGGAGAGGCCGTGGCCGGGCTCTGATGCCAGGGGAGGGAGCGGGGCAGCAGCTGACTTCCTAGGGGGCAGTGCCAGGCCAGGGAGGGAACGAGAGAAGGAAGGAGGGAGGCCTAGAGAGAAAGTGGACGAGAGAGGGAATCGGGAGATGGAATCCTGGAGGAGGGCAGAACAGGAAGGGGGGACGCAGAAACTGAACCGGGGGAAAGGGGGTGTGTGGAGGGCGGAGCAGGCGCTAGTAGGGACTGGGAGGCTTGGGGGGGGGAGGAAAGGGGACAAGAGGGGAAGAGCGGGGGAGGGCAGGGGAAGAAGGAGGAGGAGGAAGAGAAAGAAGAATAAAGAAGTATAAGAGGACGGGGGAGAGTGGAAGGAGGAGGAGGAGGGGGAGGAGGAAGATGAAGAAGAGGGGAAGAGAGAGGGAGAGGGCGACCCGTTCTTCCTTCTGGGATCCTGCCAGATGCACAGGCCTCACAGACACAGAAAGCAGTCCTTGGTCCTCCCGTCATGGCCAGCATCGGGGTAGCACTGGGTTCCAGGGCTGCTGACCTTTCCTCCAGATGACAGGACCCAAGGAAAGGGGTCCCAGGGCCCAGGGAAGAAGGGAAGGGAGGAGAGGAGAGAAAGAGAGACCGGATTTGCTGCCTAGGCACTGGCTGAGGGTCACAGATGGAAGGAGGCAGTGTTGATTTATTGGACAAATATTTACTAAGGGAGTACAGTGTGCCGGGTGCTGACCTAGGCTCTAGGACGGCAGAGACAAGCATAGCCCAGCCTCATGCTGTGAGCAGTCTAGAGGAGAGAGACAGAAAACAGACACCCTGGCAGGAAGGTTCTTGCATGGTTCCTCAGTTTCCTCAATCTGTAACATTGGGCTTGTTAAGAGATCTAGTCTGTAGGGTTGTTTGGAGGGCTAGTGGGATAATCTATATGAAGTAATTAATTGGTTCTGGCAGAAAGGGAAGACTCTGAAAGGGTTTGCCTATTAGGGTTTGAGCTGCTGGGTTTTGAAGGAGGAGATGGCATTTGCCAAATAGGAGCAGTCTTCCAGGCAGAGGCCACAGAAGTTGTAAGAAAGAGTGACCCGGATGATAGTGGGTGTGGTCACCATGGTGGACGTGTAGGTTTTTGTGGAGTATCACAGTGCAGGGTGGGAGGGCTTGCTAAATGTTTAGATTCCTGGGGTCCACCTCATCTTCTAGATCAATGTCTCTGGGTAAAAAGCCTGGGAATCTGTATTTTACTTTTTCCCCCCAGAGAATTCTGATGCACCTTTCCCTCTCCGGTGTCATAGGGCTCTGGCTTAGTTTAGGCCTTATCGTGTTCAGCTACACTATAATAAATGGTTTCTCAAGGGCCCAGCCTATAATTTAATCCTCCTTCAACCATCTCAGCCAAATGCTGTGTCCTCTGTGAAGCCTTCCTGACTGCAGGGAAGAATTATAGTTCATGTCTTTGTTCCCAGTGAACCTGGACATCCCGAATTCTACCATTCAGGAAAGTGGACCATAGTTATTGGTTTATCTGCCTGTGTCTCTCCCTATTGCTTGCCCCCTGCAAGAGGGTACATTTATGGGCAGAAGCAGGATCTGATTTACCTTTTTCCTCTGGCCTGACTCCAGGGGGATGTCAGGAATGCTGTTCAACAAATGGCTGCTGCTTGGCTCTCTGGAAGATCTTAGTGGGAGAGAATCCCCTTCTATACTCTTCTAGGGTGTTTCTGGATTATTCTTCCTCTGTTGTCTTTTATTAGGGCTGACTGGATGGACAGGGAGATGAAGTCCCATAGAATGAAGTTTCTGGGGAGGCCCAAGCCGATGTAAGTTAAATTGCTTCTGAAGCACTAGGGGGCGGTAATTGTCTTGGGGGGGATCCCTGACTTGTTCCCACCTTTCTCAGCACATTGTGTCTCTTTCTAGTAGCTGGGGGGAGCCCTAAACCAGAGCATATAGTTTAGAATGAGTCTGAAGAGCAGGTATAGAAGGACCTGCCCTGGAAACCTGTTGTCTGTTCCAAGGTTCTAGTCTCTCTAAAGATCCACTTGTCCAAAGGGCCTCATTTTATATTTTTCTGGCCTTTAGTCAGCTCATAGGTTCGGACAGTTTGGGGGTCCTATCCAGGGCAAGTCTTTGGTTGGCATGTCTTGTGATGGTTCCACTGGGGATGTGTTGGCTAATACAGATGCTAACTGTAGTGCTATGCCAGGCTAGGTGTCTCCTCACACCCTATGTCGCGTAGTTTGGAAAACAACCCTGTATAGTAGGTAACATTCTCCCCTCCCTCCATGTGATTATTGAGGAATCTGGGGTACAGAGGGTTAAGAAACATGTCTGAGATCCCAGAGTATAGGCAGCAGAGCTGGGTTTTGGACCCTTGCTGGGTCAGTCAAAAAATGGAGCTCTTAATCACAATGCCTCCCAAACAATTTCATGCCTTTCACCTCATTTCATTACAGTAGCATTTATTGAGAGTCTAGTATTTACTGTCACTGAAGGGAATGATAGCAGAAACCTTGAATGAGCTCGGAAGGTCCTGGGGACCAGATTTCCATCGAAAAGAAAGGGAATGAGGTATGTTACTTTAGTCATTAGAAAATATTTAAGACAAGAAGAAGATATAAAAATTGTCCTGTTAGCATAATTGTGGGTGAACTTTAGCTTTTTCTTTTTGAATTCTCAAAAATATTCCTAACGTTATTGTTTGTCATTGTTTTGTAGTCTTTACAAAAACACTGCCACAGAAAGTTCCCGGGCCTGATGTGTCATACTATTTTTGGCCACATGATGTCCCTCCAGCTCAGTCTAAACCGTAGAGACCACCGACTTCCTCCCAGTCTCCCCCACAGTGAGCAGCAAACTCTAAGCCAGAGAACCAACTCTGGCTGCCTGGGAGGAAGGGCAATACAGCCCCAGAAGGGACAGGAACACACGAATATTTCTTGGGTCAAAGGAGGGCAGCGGTTTGTTTGAGTCCAGGAGTCTCTGTGGACAGTTCAGACATCAAACATTCATTCTGGAGGGGACATTAGGGTTGCCTGAAAGAAGGGAACCAGGAAGGGTGTAAGTTGGTGGGGTTCAGGAGGGCAGCTTCATTGGGAAGGGGAATTGAATTACTTGAGTTAAGACAAGAAGGAGGCTGCAGTGGGGCTGAGGAACAGGAGGGCCCAGAGCTTTTTGTAGGAAGAGTGTGAGAGGCACCAATGCGATCAATGATTTACGAACAGGGGATTTGTTTACCCAACAAGCACACTATTCATGTTACACATCCATAAGGAAAAAAAAATGTCTAACAGGCTCTTCTCCTCAGTGTTTTAGCTTATTTTTCTTGGTGGTCTGGTTCCAAATTCTGGCTTTTAACTTATACACTGGAAAACTTACTTTTGGATAGCAGACATTCAGTCCTTTAAGTGGCATTTGGCTTTCTAGAAGAGCAGTAGTTCTCCAGCTAGAGTTATCTGATCATGGGAGGCCTGTTTGCAGAGGGCTGGGCCCCAGCCACAGAGATTCTGATATAGTAGGTATGGGGTGGGGCTCGAGAAGAGGCATTTCTAATAAATTGTTAGTCACTGCTGATGCTGCTAGTTCTGAGAACCACCAATGTAAAGAAGTTACCCTCAGCACATGGCTTGCCATTGTTTCCTCCATTTAAAATGTCCCAACCCTCTTACTGGATGCCTGCACATAACAAGGAGCTGGACTATGAATTTGGCTTGGCCAGTGATTTGTTTTTCCAGAGCTGGGCTCAAATGTTGCAAGGCTGAGTTGGATTGGTGGGAGATTGTTAGGGGCAACAGCAGCCTCCTGCTGATTGGGTGGGTCAGGTATCAGTGTGTTACTAGACTTCCTGTGGCTTGGCCTCCTAGGGTTCTGCCCGGTCCAGAGTCTGGTGTTCTAACTTCCCGATCCCCTGCCCCTCCAGTAGCCTTATAGTAAATTCCTGTAGCCAGAGTCCTTTCTATTGCTTTCAGATCTTTTTTTTTTTGGAACCGGGGATCGAACTTGGGTCCTCGCGCTTGTGCAGCAGGCAGCGAAAGCTTTCAGATCCTTGACTCAAGCCCTCTCTGTTCTGCCTCCCACTGTAGCAGTCTGGAGGAAATGAGTCAACTAAGATCACACCCAAATCAACAGCAAAGCTAAGAACTGGCCTTTGAGTCTCTGTCTCCGGCTAGGGGCTCTTCCCTTTGCAGATACAACTCTCACTTCCAAGTGCACTGCACAGCCCTACTTCGAGAATTTGCAGTATCAGTGTATGACATCCTTCTGAAATGTGATAGCACTTGCAAATATATAAAGAAAACCATGCACTTGGCACGTAATTAAAATCTGCCATCTTAAAAATGCTATACTTCCTTGACTAGTGTTTCCCTTAAAAAAAAAAAAAAGATTTAGCCCTTTCTACAGTTTTCTACAGTTGCAAGTTTTAAAAATGGTAGAACTCACGTTCTGTTTTAAATATTTATTTATTGTCAGCTGTTGCCTATCTTAGAAGTTTTGGATCTTGTCAGTGTGCATAACAATGTGGTATACAAATATTGGTGACTGGGGAGGAAAGTATCCCCAAAGAAAATGCTCCTAGTTCCTTCCCTGTGCTCACCTCTGCATCCCAAAGAATCCTTAGGAAGGAGGCTGAGGAGGAGAGTAAGCTGGAACTGACAGCTACAGCAGGCCATGGCCCCAGAGGGTGCATGCCCCCAGGGACCTGTCTCCTCTCCCCTCACTCCAGAGGGAGCCCAAGGCAGCGCTGGGCTTCCTGTGGAGTAGGGTGTGTGTGGGGAGGGAAAACGCTTTGGTTTCAGCAACTCCATAGTTACTTTGAGTTTTACCCTTTTGGGTCTTGGGTCAGTTTTGTATGGCCACTGTAACAAATTACTGCACACTCCATGGCTTCAAAGAGTAACACAAATTTATTATTTTATGGTTCTGGAAGTCAGAAGTCTAAAATGGTCTTAAGGAATTAAAGTCAAAGGCTGTGTTCCTTCAAGACGCTGCAGAGGGAGACTCTACTCCTTGCCTTTCCCAGCTTTTTGAGGCTGCCTGCATGCCTTGGCTTCTGGACACGTCATTCTGATCTCTGCTTCTGTGTCACACCTATTCCTGCTGCCCTCTCTGCAAGGGACACTGGTGATTACAGGACCATCTGAGTGGTCTGGGGAAATGGCCTCATCTCAAGATCCTTAACTTAGTCACATCTGCAAAGTCCCTCATGCCCTGTGAATTTCACAGGTTCTGGGGTTAGGGTGTGACTTCTTTGGTGGGGGCTGTCTATTATAATACCCGTTTAAAAAAATTAGTTAATTTTAACTTTAATTGCATTTTAACTTAAATCAAAATCAACTGAATAAAATATAGTTCAAATACTAATAAGAAAAATGGAACTCACGAAACCACGTCTCAGAGCTAAGCATAATGAACACTTGAAAATGAATGACTTTTATGTAGTTATCATTACACTATATATAAAATTTGAAATCCTATTTTTCATTAAATATTATACCATGATCTCTACTCTGTGTTAGTTTGTAGTCTGAGCATACATTTTTAGTGACTATATAATATTCCATTGAGAGGATATATCATATTTTAGCTTGGCCTTTTCTTATTTTTGGAAATTTAAGTTGTTTTAATTTTTAAAATATAAATAATGGTAATAAATATTTTTGCTCATAAGGAGTTTTGTGTTTGGCTTTGTAAGTTTTTCCTTGGGATATATTCCCAGATGTGGAGTTATTGAATCAAAGGCGTTTTATAGAGAACATTTTCCAAAGGATTTATATCAGTTTTCAGAACCACTAGGTTCTAGGAACTAGGAAGTAGATATCTTTGGAGGAGATGTTATTCTGCCTACTATAGGCTCAGTTCCAACCTGTAAAAGGGAAACAACAAGCACTATTTCTCAGGCAAGTGAGAAAAGGCGGCATATTCCTGAAGAAGGCTTGGTGAGCGGTGGAGACCAGTACTGGTGGTCTAAGCTCATCTGGGTGGACAGGTTTGGAGAGGGATTCATGCTCAAGATGCAGCTGTACCACCCCATGCTACCTTTGTGTGTGGGTACACACATGTGCACATGGGTAGGGTGGGGCAGTTTCCTAAGCAGCAGCTCCTTTCTTTCTGAAAGGCCCAGCCCCCTATGGACCAAGGTCTATGACTATGTGTCAGAATCACCCTGTGAGTTTTTATGGCCCTGATTCTCTGAGTTCCTCCCTGAGAGGTTCTGGTTCAGTTATGCCGGCATGGAGACCAGGTCTCTTGCTTTTTGGCAAAGTTCCTCAGGTGATTCTGATGCAGTAGAGATCAAAACTCCTCTAGGTGAATCTGTGGGCAACTTGCCAGCCTCTGGAATGCTGGAACAGGTTAATGGCAAAGGAAAGACACACAGTATTAACCCAGACAAATTGCCCAATTGCCCAGTGGGTGCTAGTCAAGCAGCTCCGGGTTTAACAAGACAGTTAAGAGGGTTTGTTCTGAGCTGACAGACACTGCTTCCCTCCACCCAGCTGAGGCCATCCAGGCCTCTGAGCATGGTCCCAGGCAGTCCCAGCTCTGGGAAGGGAAGCATTTAGTGGTATCTCTTGTTTTCAGCAGGATGGGGGTGAAGGTACAAGCAGAAGCCCCCTGATTGGCAGGCTCTGCTGCCCTCCAATCTCCTGGCAAGGAGAGGGTCCCTCATCAGTCTCCTGGGGCAGAATCCTGGAGATGCTGTCTGATTAGGGACAAGTGAGCAAGGCAGTGAGAGGTTCCTTTCCTACATTGTGGTGTTTTTCCAGGATTTACCAGGATGAGCAGCACACTTTGACCAGTAAAAACAGGCCTCCTGTAACTTGAATGTTCAATTCCTAGATGTGGAAGCAGGACCAGCTGCAATGGCTGGATGGAATTTAAGCTGTCAAACTGAGAGGCTTTCAGACTGACTCTGGGTTCTGTCTTGCGGACAAAGACAAGACCCACTTTGCCTGTCAGCCCCACTCATTTTTATTTAAGAGCCTGGAAAACACACACACACACACACACACACACACACACACATTTGATGTTTATTGTGTGTCAAGCACTGTGCTAATCACTTATATCACTTACATATATTTTCAGACTCCACACAATGACCCTGGAAAACAGAATTATTTATGGAAAATTATAGGAAACTATTTCCTCTATTTTATGGATGAAGAAATAGTGCCTTGGTTCAGTTGCATCATTTACCCAGAGTTAAGAAGCTGGTGAATGGCAGGTCAGGATTCCAGCCTAGCATTTCTCCAGACCTTATTTTCTTACCACTCTACCTTTTACCAACAGATGGGGTCACTATACGCCAGCGGGTGTGGAGCAGGCTGTTGGGGACCCTCTCTAGGGAATACCAAATGACGGCCGGACTAGTGCACAGTGCAGCATCCTGCAAAGACTCTGAGCCCTTCTGCTCCGGGGGCAAGGAGACCATTGGGAATCTGGGTCCTCCAGTGGATTGGCCTGGAATGGCTAATTAGAAGCTTGACCTTTCACATGTCTGGGGAATGTGAGTCTCCAGAACCCAACAAGGTAAAGGATCTCTTCCTCATTGCGGTGTGGCCTGTCCTTTATCACTGGCTTACACCTCTTCTTCCCTCCTTCCCCCCACATGCCGTCTTTCCTTTTCTCCCTTCCCTTCCTTCCTCCTTTGCCTCCTCCCCCTTCCTTCCTTTGCTTCTTTTTCTCTTTCTCCCCACTTGTCCTGAACTGACCTCTGACCTTTGATCCCCTCCCTCATTCAATTAGCATTTAACACATTGGGTTCTTTGTAGGGTGTGGAGGTTCTGGCTTGTATTGGGAGCCCTGTCCTGTCTGGTTTTTTTTTTTTTTTGGTACTGGGGATTGAACTTGGGTCCTTGTGCTTGCGGAGCAGGCGGCAGAATCACTGAGGTAAATCCCCGGCCACCCTGCCTTGTCTGAATCAGCCTCAGTGACTGTGTCTTGGTTCTTTGCCTGGTTCTCATAGAGCTCCTTTGTCACAGAATTTGGACCTGTTCTCTCCAACCCCAGTTCCCAGCAGGACCTTACCAAGTAAGCTCCTTGCTGGGTCCAGCGTAGCTGCCCAACAGGACCCATGGCCTTTGGTTGTGGTCCTTGGCTGGCCCTGTGACCCCTGCAGGCCTCTGTAGATGTGTGTTGTTGCCCTCTATCCTGCTAGGCCACAGATTCCTTTTCTTCCTTTGTGTAGCTTTTGTGCCATTGCCAGGCTGAAGCCAAGAGAATACTGGCTTCCGAATGATTCTGCATGGTGACTGCTAACCCAGCTCTCCTGTAGTTCTGACATGTCGCCCTGCTCTGGTCTCCCTGAGTGGTTTCTGATGTGTGTGTGCAGAGATGTCTACATGGGTGTCCAGACATGCTATGAATACAGAGCATTGGCTCCTGAGAAGACAAGAGCAGCAGCTGCTTTACAATCCCAGTCTGGAATCTGCACATGAAAATACACACCTCAGGGAGGGACTTCAGTAGCTCTAATGAGCCCTCCTGCAGGTCTGCAGGGACACCCACTAAATGCCCATGTATTAATTGAGAGTTTGGCTGTATATCTGGTGTGGACTGGATGTGCCCACTTTAGACACTGTCAGATACCTGACTTCTCTCTGGACTTTACAGATGGGAAAACTGAAGCTTTAAGAGGGGACTGGGGCTGGATTTGTATTGCCAGAGCCTAACTGTTGCTTTTTTACATCTCCCTGGTTCAGGAAACCATTCAGCAGGGTAAGCGTTTAGCAGAGACAGACTGCCAAGCCTGCATTATGGGTGCCAGTGTGGTATTCTCGAAGGACAGGCAGATAGGACTCCCTGGCTTCCCTTCCAAATCCACTAAGGGTGGCTAGACCGGGAGACACATCATGTCCTTTAAGGAAAAGAACTGGCGTTGCTCCTCAACTATCATCAAAAGCTCTGGGGGAGGAATGGATGAAAGGGCCCTGGTGTGGGTTAAATATTTTCAACCCAAAGATAAGTGGAGGCCTGACCCCTGGTACCTGTGAATATGACTTTATTTGGAAATAGGGTCTTTGCAGGTATAATCAAGCTAAAGTGGGAACATTGTAGGATAACTGATGTCCTTATAAGAAAAGGAAAACATCACAGGAACACAGAGGCCCACAGGGAGGAGGACATGTGATGAGAGAGGCAGGGATGGGAGTGATGCCATTGCAAGCCAAGTGATGCCAAGAAGGTAAATAGAGGCATAGAAGGTTCTCCCTAGACTTTCAGAGGAAACATGGCTTTGCCAACATCTTGATGTCAAACTCTCAGCCTCCAAAGCTGTGAAACAATCAGCTCTTGTTTTAAGCAACTGTGGTACTTCACTATGGGATCCTGGGAAACTCATGCAAGGGCCCACACAGCGAGCATCTGCTCCGCGTGTGCTTATGTCTGAGGCTTCGGGCCCTTGAAAGTTGGAGTGTTCTATTGTGGCCAGGATACAATTGGAGGTGGAGTCTGTGTGTGGACTCTGGGGAAGAGGGTTGGCGAGAATGGTTCTGGTCAAGTCTCCCCCTCTTCTTTTCCTCTTTTTCTTTTTCTTCTCTGTTCTCCTGCCAATTTATATTCTAAACTTTTGAGTCTGAACTCTTGGGATCTTGGCTGATTCAAGTGATGGAGTCCAAGGCAGGCGATGTATTCCCACTTTTGGACAATTCATCTCCCCAGTGAGAAGCTTGTTGACCCAGCTGCTTCTCACCCGGTGAGCCTAGGTTTGGGGTGAGCTGGGTTTTGGGTGGGGCAGGGGGATGCTGAGTGGGAGCGGTGATGTTTGGGTTCTCTGTACCTTCAGGGGGTTGAGTCCTGGCTGTTATATTAACTCTCCTGGAAGCAGCCTTGTGCTTGCCAGCCCACACCTTGCTATAGTCCTAGCATTGCCTTCTTCCCCAACAACCTCAGTTTCCCTCATGTAAACTTTGTGATTTGGGAGGGAATAACCAAGCAATCCCCAAATACAGGTCTAGGCCAGTCGGGTAGTGTCATCCCCTTGCCGCAGTGATTGGCTCAGGAAGACCAGGTCTAAGGCATGTTCCTTGTCACTGCTGTGTGATTGGAGGAGTTCATCTTTTTTCTCTGGCTAGATTGGAACAAGGAAGCTCATACCCTCAATGCTGTTGGCAGCCACTCTGTGGCCATGAGATCCAGCTTTAAAATGATCCTTTGAGTAACAGAGCAAAGAGGCAGAAAGATACTTGGGTTTTGATGACTTCAATGGATATTGGATCAGTCAATACCCTGAAATCTGTCCTCTGGATTCTAGGTGAGTCAGTACATCCTCTTCATTTTTCAAACAAATTTGAGCTGGTATTGTCGTTTCTGTTGTAACATATGATAGTTTAAAAATATGACCACAAAATTTTCATACTCTTCCTGTCTGGGGGATTTTAACCTTTGTTAAAGGGTTTATGAATGTAAAGGGATCAATTTAGGAGAACCGGGTCTGACTTTCCAATATATATAGAGAAGCATTATTTTAAACATGTCGGGAGGAAGATAATTTACATTTTTATTAACAATAATTGGGATGCTATTTGTTATGTTTCGTCTCAAACATTAGCTCAAAAACTGTTGGTTCTTCAGAATAACAAGGAAAATTAGTCATGAGTCCGCGTTGAAAGGACTGAGTAGGTGTGCTCTTCTGTTTCCACTTATGTTAGGATTGTAGTCATTACCTACTAATGCTTTCCTGGGCTGACCAGGTCCAGGCTCCTGGGAGTATTCTGCATGTGTTCCCTGTGTCTCAAGTCTGTGCTGAGCTCATGCACAATAGGCTGGCTACACTCAAACCAGCACGCAGCTGCTGAGGACATACCACCCAGAAAGCACAGCATCAGGAACTGCAGACTGAAGCTGGGCTGGTAGCTTTGGTTTAAGTTGGAGTATTTCACAGAGGCTCTCTTTGCTGTTGGAGGCCTCTGCCCCTGAGATGTAGCGGCTCTAGTGTTGCTCCTTGTGCCCCTCCTTGCCCCCCTGCTCCTCCAGCACTTGGACTAGAGCACTGATCTCCTGCAGGAAGATGATCAAGGCACTGTTCACTCTCTGACTCCTTCTCCTGCTCCCTGAGCTCAGCCCTGCATTCCTAGAGGTCTAGCAGTGATTCTGTGCTGGGACTCAGGCCTGCATGGTTCCAGGTGAGCCTGGCTTCCTCTTCTACCTGGGCTCAAAATCAAACCCATTGGCACCTACTCCTTGCCTGTCTGCAGGTCAGAAATGCTCTTCCCAGCTCAATTTCAATTGCAATGGTGGGTACCAGGCACCCCGTTCAGCAGGCGGCCTCCTCCCACCTGCTTCACTAATTAGGCAGCAACTGCCTGCTGCCATCACCAATCTCAGGTCTCAGCTGTGGAATTTGATCTACTTTCTCCAAGAACATGCTTATCCTATGGGGCCAGATACCACTACCATTGTTGAAGAGCCATTTTGCATATGCTCACAAAGCATCTTCCAATTCTGCACGGGAAACGAGCTCTGTAAAACCTTTGCTAATCCAATATGCCAGGTTTCAAAACAGAAGGATTTAGAATTAACCATGATTGGGCCATCCAGTTCCTTGATTGAAAAGTTCAGAAAAACTAGTTGTCTGGGAAAACAGGGTGACCCTTAGATGGGCAGTATGAACAAATGGTTGACAAGAATGAGCCTTGCCCATGACAAAGGCAGCCAAGATGAAGGAGAGTTACCTGCCATCCATGCTACCATTGGCGTGCCATCTTGGGAACCTACTGCAGACCAAGGAGGAAGTTTAGGGATGGCCATGTGACAGTTGTTGCCACTGTAAGGATTTTGTAAGAGCTCTTTCCTCCAGGAACTTATGGGTCATAAGGGCACATGTTGTCAGGTGAATTTAGTACCTGGATCGTGGTTGCTGAGTTAGGTTTTTCTCAGGTAATTTGAGAGAGAACAGTATGATCTAATTCAGCGGTGGACAAATTTTACAGGATGTTAGAATAATCTGGAGAGTTAAAAAAAATTTTTATGCCTGTGCTGCACCCAGACTAATTAAATCAGAATCTTTAGGAGTGAGACTCAGGCATCAGGATTTAAAAATTTTCCCAGGTGATTAAAAGCCACTAGTGGAGTCCCTTATTCTCTCCTTGTCAAAATCTTGCATTAAAATAATTGCAGTAGTTACTAAATCTACCCATAGTGTTAACAATCTAGATTAGCATCTCAATAAATATACAGCCTGGGAACAATGTGGAAATTCTCTAGTGTTAGATCTCAATAGCTATTGATTATTTCTCTCTAGGATGCTGATTTTCTTTATTCTTTTAAGAAAAGTCCTGAACTTTCTCTCCTTCTTTCTCCCAGTGTTGAAGAGTCCTGAGTCTGTTCTAAGACACTGGCAAAGTACTGAGGGCTTGAGAGGAAAATTTCGTTTTGGGAGTAGAGGTCAAACTGCACTTCCTAAATTTAAAGGAAATACTTGGAGTTGAAAGGGATGGAAACTGTGATAATAGATATGAAAGCTTCCTCTGAAATGTCTCTCATTCATCAATCTCCCAATAAAGTTATACTGTAACTTTTAGTGACATCAACATTCAAAATTTCCTTTCTTATGACCATTTAGTGATAGCTAGCCAAAAAGTAACCTATGGTTACATTTCCTTTCTTTTATGGCATTTTATTTTTCTTGGATTAATGATTGTCTTATTTCCTTAGTAGCTATGATTTTTTTTAATGAATCCATCTGCAATTTTTTCCTGAACTTCCACAGAGTGTAAAAATCCTCTTGGTGAGGTCCAGCAAGTACCCAAAGGAATCCAATAGTTCTCTTCTTTTCTCTGAATACATCCCTCCCACATCCCTCTCCACTCTACTCCAGATGGGTTGATGGGTTGTTATCTAGGCCTCAGGACCAGCCCTTTTCATTAAATCCTGTTTCCTCGCCCTCACACTGGATCTTTGCATCTAGAGATCCCACATCTTCTTTCATTTTATGTCTTGTTTTGGAGAAGTATATTCTTCAGTTTATTCTACAGAAAGGTACATGTAACTAAATTTTTTGTGACCTTGTGTTATAGATTTTTTTTTTTGGTACCAGGGAATCAAACTCTGGACCTTGTGCTTGCGAGGGAGGCGCTGGAACCACTGAGCTAAATCCCCGGCCCGACCTTGTGTAATAGTTTATATCTAGATGCCCCCCAAGAGATTCATGTGCCCATAGGCGGGGCCTTTGGAAGGTGATGGACTAGGGAGCTCTGTACCTGGCTTGCTGTTAGGAGAGGGGGTCTGGTTGGAAGAAGCAGTCCCTGGGGACATGACCTGCAAAGGCCCTTTGGGGGTCCTCATTTCTTTCTTTTCTTCCTGGTCCCCACAATGTGAGCAGCTTTCCTCTGCCATTGCCCTCTGCCATGCCATTCTGTCTTGGACCTGGCTAACTGTGGATCAAACTGTGAGCCCAAATAAACCTCTTCTCCTTCAGTTATGGATGTTGGGTATTTTGTTCCAGTGACAACCTTGCATTTCTGAAAAGATCTGAAAAGGAGGAGAAGGTGGTGGAAACTGGGCAGGGACAGGGTACCTGAAGGCTGAGAATCTATTTTAGGGAGGCAGAGAGGCAAGAGAATGTAGGACTATGCTGAATCTCCAAGCTCCTTGCTCAGTGCTCCACTGGAATTCACTTAGAAAATGCAAGTGGAAAGATCTAATTATGAAGAATTTAAAGATGGCAACAGCAGAGCACAAAACCAAACAAGCAGAGTTTTTCTGAGCATGGAACCCTGTGTGATGACACATCGAAATACATCTAGAAAGCCATCCCTAGTGGAAGAAGAATGGCCCATGTCTTAAGTCATGCTCGCCAACCAACCCCTTCCATCTAGAGTAAGATGAAGAGAATTTGAATTTGTTCCACATACTAAAGTAAATTCCAAGTGGATTTAAGATTTCAATGTTAAAAAAATGGACAAAACAACAGCAGAGAAAATTTTAGGGAGTGTTTGTATCACCTAGTGGTGTGGGAAATCTTTTAACCCCAAACAATAAACACAGATGTTATAGAGGAAATGATGGTTATATTTGCCTGCATAAACTTTACATTATATGGGAAAATATTTTATAAATGAAGGCGAAAGATCAATGATAGACTGGGAAAAATTTTCAGCATATAAAGGAGATAATAGATTAATGTTTAAAATATTCAAGCTCCTCTATAAACTAATAAAGAAAGACATCTCAGCTGGATAATAGGCAAAGCATATTAATAGACAATTTTCAAGTGGAAATCCAAATAATATGTGAAAAGATGTCAGGGAAATGTAAATCAAAGGGACAGTGACATAATACTTCTGGCACATCATACTAGGAAAAATCAAACAAAAATAATACTTAGTAGAGTGTTGCTGGTAAAAAGGACATTAACTGACATAACTGTTGGAAATGTGAATTGTTAGATTGATGGACAGGAAAAACACGATGCAACATTTTCATTTTTGGTGATTTATGGAAATTGAAGGACCAAGAAAGAAGGATATTCTAAATCTGTTTATTTAGTATTTTAGCTGTGGCAACAAACAAATAGAAACAATAACAACAAAGCAAAGATACAAAAAAATGAAAGGGAACTTATATACTCATCAATGAAAGGATTGTTTAATAAATTGTAACATATTCATACTTTGCAGTCATTAGAAAAAATGAATACCTATTCACCTAGAGACATTTCCAGGTAGATGAGGAAAATGTGATATAGAGAACTGTATATAGTAAAATAATATTTTTCTTGTATGTGCAAAATAATGCTCAAATCCCTAAACTATGCACAAGTATAGAAAGTATGTACCTTGATTTTGCTGGTATTTGGGGCAGGGGTAAATGGAAGGATAGCAAAGAGGTTGTTTTGGTGAAAAGACGTGCATCTGAACTCAGCAAGGAATGTGGATGATTGTGCAATGGATAGGAGGGTTTGGACTCAAACTTTTTCTAAAGGTTATTGTTGTGAACTGGACCTTAGCTATTGGCCCTACTCCTGACTCTTGGGTTTCAGGATCAATAACAATTGGAGTATAATTTCAAGATGTAAGAAGTATACCAATAAGCAAATAAGCCAAAAAAACTAAGGATACTTTCAGAAGAATTAAAATGTGATTAACACACTATCTTTTCTTCTGCTCTTGAATTGAGTTTATGTTCTATAAAATGTTAATGTTAAATAATCTTTCAAAACTCAGTGGATCATATATGTGTGGTTCTATTTCTAGATTCTCTGTTTTATTCCAGTGATCTATATGTCTTTCCTTACACCAACACTGCCTTGATTACTGTAGCTGTAGAGGACTTCTTAAAATTAGGTACTAAATGTCTTCCAACACTATTTTTTTTCCTTTTTCCTTTTCTAGGTCCTTTGTACTCCTACATAACTTTTAAATTTCAATATCCAATTCTTCATTTATACAAGTATACTTAGACCTGAATTTTTATATATACCTTGTGTTTTCTAATCCTGCTAAATTCAAATATAAGTTCTAGGGGCTCCTAGAGA